ACTTTTTTTTTTTTTCGGAACGATGATGCACAAAACTATTTATCGTTTTTCAATGGCTCTATATTATACTGTTTTCAGAATGACTAGCTTCCATGTTTCTGTTTTTAGGATGTACTCTAGAAGGACAGTATCTTCTCTTCAACATAGTATGTCCCCTTAGTGACACCATTCTTCATAATTCAGTTCCCTCTATGTGAAATATCATGCGATTTGCATATTTCGATTTTTTTCATTGAGAACTGCTGAAACAATTTTAACTTTTGCTACCTGCTCGTCAGCCTTTGTTTGAAGCTCAGAAAATTGCATTTCCAGCAATTTGGAATGTTTTTCGAATTCCTGCTTCTGTCTACTCTCAGCATCTGCATTTGCGTTTGCTTCTTCTAGATCTCGAAGCATTTGTGCTTTATCTTTATCCAATTTAACTTTCATCTTTTGCATTTGTTCTAATTGATCACTGAGTTCCGCAACGGCATCATTGTGTTTTTTGCGCAACGCCGAGATTTGCAACTCGTGGTTCATATTGTTTTCCTGAAATGGTGATGAACCTTCGAGTAAGAGGAATAAGAACGAATAAGCAGTGTTAATCATGGCATCAAGTATTGACACTCATTTCGATAGATTTTATACAAATAATTTAAAACAAGTAAGTTCGCATACTTCCAAATCTCTCTTCAATTTGGCCATTTCGGCTTCACGCCTTTTGTTTAGTTCAATTTGCGCCGCAGTAGCACCACCTTGTTCATCTAGACGCTGCGTTATTTCATCCAATTCACGTTGTAGATCTCCTTTTGCCCGATCTAATTTACCACGTGATTGTCGTTCTTGCTCCAAATCCTCTTCAAGTTCAGCAATACTGGAATAAAGCAGGTAGGCTGGTTTAACATTTATTTAGGTTTTTGCTTCAAGAAAAGTACTTTCAAAAATTTCCAGCATTTAAATGTTTCAACATTAATCAAAATTCAGTCATATAATTAATTATTTACCGGCCTTCCAGACACTTGATTTGTTTTTGCAACTTGTTAACCGTTGATTGCTCTCCATCGAGCTTACCAACTGTGGTCACCAAGTCTGCATCTTTTCTACAATCAAAGTATCATGAATTCGAATAGAAATCAAAGAAAAAGAAAAAAATAGTTTAAGTAACTCTCTCTTTTATTACTCTTTGACCTAGTCTGATGGTAGTTGTTCGCTTTCACTTTTGTGTTCATTTTTTTAAATTATCTATTTTTACCTTTTTAAAATTTGTTCAATATCATGTTTTTGTTTAGTGATTTCATCCATATTCTCTTGGGCCACCTTCAATTCACCTTCCACTTTTCTTTTAGCTTTTTCTAAGTCTAGGCGCATGCGCTTTTCGCGTTCAAGCTTTTCCTCCATCTGAAAATAGTCAAGTTTGACTATCAACAGAGTTGCTAGAAATAGCCAATAGCTTTACTGAATCATTAGAAATCAATAATCAAACAGACTTAGGTTGGAATTGATTAGATTCTGTACTTTTTATGGCAGAGACGAAAAATCATACTAACATCATCCAGTTGCTGCTCGATTTTTGTCTTAAGTTTTTGCATATGATTAACTTTGTCTTCTTCAGCTTGCAAGTCTTCCATTAGTTTTCTGTTCACCTAGAAATTAATTATTGATAGTACTAATTCAAAGGAAAATTTATAACTTCCTTTAAAGTGCAATGAGATTTAAGTAAATTTGAAATAGTTCATCGGTAGAGATTAAGCCAAAAATTAAAAGAAACGTGCAAAAAGGACAAGAAAAAATAAAAAAAAGGAATGTGCAAAAATTTATAATAAACAAGGAAACATTGGACATTGCTTATAATTCCAAAATCATGTCACTTCTCAATTTATCCATTATTGTCTTGTCAATGGCAATTTTCGAATTACATTTTGCTAACTTTAACTTTTTTTTAATTTAAAAATAAAAGTGTTGATGTAGCACCTCTTCTTGTTGTTTCTTTTCCTTGCTGACACGAGCGACAGCTTCATCCTGACTTGCCATTTCTCCTTGCAATGAACGAATGCTCTGTTCACGAGATTGCTTTTCACTTTCGGCTTTTCGTAATGCCATCTCGAGTTCCTAAATTTATTTATCTGTAGTTTTCAGATCAATTTTATTGTTCTTTTAACTGTTGAAACAATTAGTATATGCAAAATTCAACTTCTGAATTTAAAAAAATTTTAGTTACTTTAAAATGGCTGAGTTTCTTACCTGATTCTTTCTTTTTAAGTCACTGACTTCTTGCTCAGTCTTCTTTTTAGCTCGATTCAAATTTTCATTCCGATCTTCCATTTCAGCGACTCGATCGTTCAGTTCTTGCAAATGGCGCTCCATGTCCGCCTTCATTGCATTTAGCTTCTGAACTCGTTCCTCAGCTTCAGCTGAATGTACCTTTTCTTTTTCCAAATTTGCGAATAATTGATCTTTCGCGTGGATTAAATTGGCGATCTAAAACTGTCTATCTTAATATTTCTTTATTATCAAAAGAAAAGAGACTAAAGTCAGAAGAAAATAATATGCAGTTTTTTTGAGCTTTTTTTTATTTCCACTTTTCTTCCCTTTTCTCTCTCTCTGTCATTATTAGTTCTACAAATTTAAAGGAATTTGATCAAAGAAATGTCTAAATAAAAAATCTTGAGAGAAAAGGTCATAAGTGGTTGTTGCCAACATCTCATTGGTGTATTTAAAACTGAAATTCATTTTTTATGTATTGAACCAATGAAAAAGTCATGAAAATAATCGCTTTAAATTGTTTTCATCTTGCGAAGATGCAATTTGCTAATATCAAAATACTTTTCTATCCAGAAAAAGTACAAAAATAAGTGGCTTTTGGTTGGGCAATGAATCAAAATGAAACGAAAGAAATTCAACAAAATTTTGTTAGCTCTGAATGACACAATGAAAGATTTAAAAAGAGATAAAGGAAGAGAAAAAATGAAATCTTTTTGGGCGTATCATTCCGGATTTTGAAATATACAACATATCTTAGCTTTCAAACCAAATAAACAATGATTTCAATTCCTCTCTTTGCGTTTTGCTTCATCACTTTGAAAAATTGTTCTCTTACTATGAAAGATGTGACAGTTTACTAAAACAAATCACTTTCTTGATGGAAAAATTTAAGCTATTTTATTGGGTTCAAAATATCCTAAACTAAATTTAGTGAATTTATTGAGTTCTTGAGATTCTGGTGATCAATAATGCTGAAAAGGTAATCAAACTGTGATTTTAGTGATAATAATAACGTTGACATTGATATGCATTATGATAAAATGTTCTTGCGTTACAACCAATTTGATGAAAATACTGCTGAGCGAAATATGATTCACCTCTGTTTCTAACTCTTTTCGATTTCCTTCCTCCTTCAGCAGCGTTTCTTCCAAAACCTTAATTTTATCGTTCAGTTTTTCCATTTCTTCCGCCTCCTTCCCAGCCTTCAACATTGGCTTTATACGACCGTATAATTTGAACCACTCCCAAGTGCGTAGCAGACACCATGTACGGATATTACGTTGGATCATCAGCAAACCTGAAATCAACTATTTCACTACGTGTCAGGGAATTAGCTTCCTAACAATTTATGACAAATTTGGGGATAGAAGAAGCCAAAATGGTACCATCGACTTTTTGCTAAAAAAAAAGAATTTAAGGACTAATGTGCAGTTTTTTTATGCCACCTCACTGAATCAAAAGTAATCAAATTTCGCTTCTCAAATTACTAAAAAGCGGAAATACAGGCAATAGCAATAGAAAACTGCCGATCTAAATAGAATTTGGAGACTTGTTCAAAATTCAAATTAAAATGAGTATCTGTTAGAAAGAAGCTCAAGAAGAAAAGAAATAATCAAGATATTTTAAAGCTAAATATTTAAGAAAGCGAATTAAATTACCTGACTTTTGAAGTACGCGACGTTTTTTATCAATTAAGCCCAAGAAACTTCGAATTTGTGATTGGAAGTTCGTCATTATGACACGTAACGCCTCATCGCGCAAATCCTCAAGACGCGCCAGGATGCCGGATTTGAAGAAGATCTTCGAAGAGCCCATTTTGAATTCATCATCGGTCAATTTACCATTATTACACAAGAAATCAGTGATACCCGTTGTTGCGGCCTTTTCATCCGGATTTTTTGCTGCGTCAGCAGCAATAATAGCATAACGAAGTTTGAAGTCATAATAGACCATCCTGTTCGGATAGCCTTTACGACAAATTCGAATGCCTTCTAACACACCGTTACAGGTCAATTGATTTAACACCAATGCCGAATCGATAACTCCTAAAGATTATTATTCGAAATGAACTAATTAATCATTGGTGTTCATAACATAATTATTTAATGCAGAATTTTTGTTTTCCATCTGAATAAATTCTCATGTAAATAAATTCTTGAATTATTGAACAATAAGAATTAATGACAAATGAATCGTAGACGCTGTCGTTTGTTCATTTTTCAGTCTCATACATATTTCAAACAAATTACATACCGCTAGCTTTCTTCTCGTTTGGTATAATACAACGGATGAAGTGCGGATGTGTCTGATACAGCATATTCATTAGGTTGTTCAATGATTCGCGATACATCATGGAGACAGTCATGAATGACGACGACTTACCTTTCTTACGTCCACCTTCTAAACAAAACGGGAAGGGTTTTATGTTAAACTGCTGATCTGATTTGTTATCAAGTAAGGAAGTCATTGTGCCAAAGATATCAAAGCTTTCAACGAACCATTTCCCACTATATAATAAGTATCGGCATTCTTGCCAGGTTAGCAATTAGTAAACAAGAAAAAAAAAGAAGTCAGTAATAAAGTCTTTCATTAAGAAATCAGAAAAGATCCCTTTTTCGCTGAATCAAAATTAAATAGAAAAGTTCCATTCACTTCTGAGTAATTTATAAAAAATTCAAAATTCCCCCTCGAATCTCTTCAAGTTCTGCAAACTAAATCTTAATAATTTTGAAATTAAAGTACCAATGCCAGCTTTAGCGGCTTCTGCTGCTTCTTCTTGAGTTTGATAATCAGCCCAGATATCTACCAGCAACTGATTGCCTTTGCAGTGCTTCAATACGGCAACGGCGGAATCGTTCAATGGATCCTTATTTTTCTCCAGAAAATTTGTAGCATTGTATCGCACCTACATTCTTTCTCATGTAAAATAAGATTTAGAGTTAATTAGAATTAGGGAAGCTTATGCTGGTTGAAATCGTTGAATAAATTCTAAAAATTTATCATTGTCCAAAATTTTCTTTATTGACTGACTGATTTTCATAAAGTCCAAAAATCCGGATACACAAAATTTCAGGATGCAAATGAAGGATCAGTTCTTATCTTTATTACCCCATTTGTTTTCCAATCACTTGATCATTATTTGAATTTTGCAAATCTTGTCAGGCTGGGGTCCTTTCTTGCTTTATCCAAAAGTTTTCATTCAATTTGAAGAAAAAATAAGAAGAATTACGAAAACATACGGTGCCAGCGTAGTGAACAACTGCAAAATGAGCTTCAGCTTGTTTTCCTTTCGGTGGTCGGGGTTTCTGGAAGTTGGGATGTTTACCAAGGTGTTGGTCATTCAACTTTTGCACAAATGTCATATCAGTCGCCTTTGGCACGATGCACTCTTCATCCAACATTGAAATGATACCCAAAGGCTAAAAAAATTTGAAATTTTCAAGATCAAATAAGGGATGCTACTTTTCGCTCTAGTTAACTCTTATTCTTATCAAGTTTTAGTTTATTAAATCCTCTAACTTCCTATTAAACCTTTTTGTTTAAGACACACAAAGCATAAATGCAATTACTTTCTCAATTAGTTCGATACAGGCCTGCAAATCGAGACCAAAATCAATAAAAGTCCAAGCGATCCCTTCACGTTTGTATTCTTCTTGCTCAAGAACAAACATGTGATGGTTGAAAAACTGTTGTAATCGTTCGTTCACAAAATTGATCCATAACTGCTCGAACGAATTAAACTGTAAATTTCGAAAACTTTTTATTTACAATTTTCGGAAATTCACTTCGTCAGCTCAAAATTTTTTAGCACTAAAATGTTCTACAATGCACACTAATTATGAAACTTTTTAGTTTGTTTTCGAATTGAATCTTTCCCAAAATGAACAACTAGAACTATCTGAAAAAAACGGAAAATGTACGTCGAAAATTTCAAAACCAGCGATATCCAAAACACCGATAAAATACTTCCGATTTTCTTTCATTTGGTCAAGTGTTTTGTTACACCTATCGATGAGCCATTTGAACATTCTCGAATAGATAGCTTTGCCAAGACCGGCTACAGCCCAATGCACCTGAAAAATATTTCATTCTCATTTCATGCATTAAAGTTACTGATCATTCTTATAATTCATAA